CCATAGAAGGGCAGAGGAGACTCATCCTGAACCAGCAGCTTTGGGAATTCCCAAGAAGCTAGCAAACCTGTAGCTTGTCACAGGAACCTGGTCCCATCACCCTCTACCTCTGCCCTGCCCATGAACCAAGATGAGGAGCCAAGATTGGCTTACATCTAGACAGAGAACCTTGTTTGCTTTCCAGCAGCCAGTGAGCATGGGTTTGGCCACCTATGTTCTGAAAGGGGTCATATATCCCAAGGCATATATGTACTCCCACAAGGCACTGTTACTGCCCTTGGGCGGGCACCAGCATGCAGGGGACTTCAGAAGCTCTGGTGGACCAGGCCTCTGTAGAAGAGGCAGCAGGTCCTCTGCTGGTGCCCTAGTTCCCTACAGGCTAAAGGCAGCAAGAAAAAGGATGGCTTAGAGAGTTTAAAATCTGCCTGTGACCTCACACAATGATTTTGTATTTTGGCGAAGCAGATGTCCAGGAAAGCATAGGCCTGGAGTACCTGCCCGAGGCAGCTGACCCTGAGAACTACCTGGACAGTTGGCACATTGAGATCAGGCCTGGGCTTTGCACTGTGCACAGGGAGTGAACCTTGAGCCTGGGTGCCACACAGTGAACCTTGACTGTTTTGTACGTCAGTTCATTTCACAACTTGGTTACATCCAGCCTTCCCTGGTGACCCCACAGGGACCATATACATGAGTATCATCCTCCAGCTCCTGTCTGCGTGTTGCTGTTCTTGTGTCTGAATAGGAGAGAGCATACTACTGAAGCTCTGGCTAATTCTATGAGGCATCAAACTCGTGTGAGCTCCACTGAGTGTAGGGTTTGTTTCATGGAGACAAGCCCAGTCACATGGAGGGTTTGGATCGGTGTCAGTGTTCCGCTCCTCTGTCTGCTGGTATTGGGTTGGGCAGGTTCCAGGAAACGAGATGATTGACATCACTTCCTGTGCTCTGAGGCTCTGTCTCCGCACAAGTCATGTGAGCAATGTAAGAGCCGTGGGTGTCTTGAGTGGTGGAGTCTACAAGGATCTGAAGCTGTATTGAATTGCAAACTAATCTTCTAAATCCTGCTATCAGGGATAGCTGGCACATCACAGGCTTCATTCATGTGGCTCCTTGGTTAGCCTATGCCTAGACTTCTCAAGACAGGCCTGGTGGTTTTATGGTTTTAGCATGACTTCCCTCAGGGACAGAGTGCATGTTGGGGTAAAATGGATCACATGGAGAACTGTGTCCCAAAGGGAGGTTCTTGTGACAGGCTCTATAAGCTCAAGTGTGTGGACCCCATTTAGGGACTTTGGTCCAATGCCAAGAATTAATCCAGATGGGATGAGGGGCTAGCCAGGCATCCTGGCATGGAATGTGTGTGAGGTACTCAACATCCCCAGCTCAGAGGAGGCCAGCAAGGGCAAATGTCATCTCAGAAGCAAGCAAGGTCATCTGTTGGTATGTAATAAATGGTCAGGGATTCTTTGAATAACATTCATCTGTGATGTCACAGCTCTGGGATCAGATGTATGGGCCTCACTTTGCTGGGACCTATGCTTAGGTCTAACAGGCTATCAACAGTTAGTCAAGCTAGATCCTTCTGGACCCTGGAATCCTCTTCTGAGCTCATTTATGGTTCCAGAGTCTCCCTCCCTCTCTCCCTTCCTCCCTTCCTCCCTCCCTTCCTCCCTCCTTTCTTCCCAAGACAGGGTTTCTCTGTAGCTTTAGAGGCTGCCCTGGAACTCGCTCTGTAGACTAGGCTGGTCTCAAATTCACAGATATTTTCCTGCCTCTGCCTCCCTCGTGCTGGGATTAAAGGCATGTGCCATCACCAGCTGGTGAACCTTCACTTTCTTGGAGGTTATAGGATGGTGGCCCCTGGTCCTGCTAGCTGTCACCTGAGGGCTACTCATAACTCTTGGGATCCCCTCACAGGCCTCTCTTATGGCATCCAGCTTTCTCAAGACCAGAGAAAGACTTGCCTAAACCTTCTTAGAGGCCTCATCTAAGCCTATCAATCATATTCTTTTTGATCAATTCAGGATGATCTGATGAAAGCCCTTAACCTGTATAGCTCTCTCTCTGCCATATAATGTTAGGAGGTAGTGACAGGAATGACATTATCATGTTCATGACTTCCCGTATACACACTCAAGGGGAGGAGACTATACGGGGTCCTACATACAGCACATCTATACCAACATAGTTGGCGGAGTTCTGGGGATCCCTCCTAGAACTTGTAGGCCTTTCTAGAATTCTATCAACTACATTTCCCCCTCCTTCTGCACCATCTGGTGCTCTTACCTTTCTTCTGGCTCTTTCCATAAACCCTCCTTATCCAAGCCAATGGACTAATACTGTTGTCAAACTCTTGCCTAGTTTCTGTCTTCTTATAAAAGAACCAAAAGGCCCAGGGCGGTGTGCCTCCTCACCCAAGGGTAGGTCTTGAATGTAAAGAACCTTCATCACTTATCCCCTCCAGCCCTGAGTTCTTCTTGCAGACCCTAAGTACCCATTTAGGACATGTAACTGGTGTGGAACCTTTAAAATGACACCAGGTGCCAGATTTCTGTACCACTGTGACCCAGCCCCAGCCCTGGCTTGTGGTGTTGGATGCCTTTTGGTTTGAAAGATATGAGCTTGGATCACACAAGTAAAATCCAGTATGGAGCCAAGTCCTTGGAATCTGGAAGGAAATCCCTTGGGATTCAACTTAGGAGTCAACTTACATCAGAACTGAAAGAGATCAGGGTGCATGGTGGTGAGCTCCTGAAATTCCAGCGTGGCAGAGGGTGGGGGAGCTGAGGCAGGAGGATGGTGAATTTGAGGTTGGCCTGGGCTTGTCTTTTCAAAAAATCAAAAGTGAGAAAATAAAGAGGAGGGAGGATGTACCAGTTCCCAACCAGTTCCCAAATAAAGACATGGAACTGTAAGATTAGTTATGAATGCTTGGCCTTAGCTTGGACTCATTTCTTGCTAGCTCTTATAACTTAATTTAACGTGATTCTCTTCCTCTCCATTTGCCTCGGGGCTTTTTACCTTTCTTCCCTTCTGTACATCTTTTACTGCTTCTTGTCTCTGGCTGGCTGGTGGCTCCCTGACTGGCTGACCCCAGGTGTCTCTCTCTTTTTCTCCCTCATTCTCTTTTCCATCTAGCCTAGATTCCTCCTCCTCCTACTTAATCTCTCTCCCGGCCAGCCCCACCTATCTCTTCACTGCCTAGCTATTGGCTGTTCAGCTTTTTATTAGACCAATCAGGTGCCTTAGGCAGGCAAGGTAAGACAGCAGCACATCTTTGCAGAATTAAACAAATGCAACATAAACAAATGTAACACACTTTTACATAGTTAAAGTAATATTCCACAACAGAGGGAAAGGAAAAGGTCAGTTTGTCTTCTGGTGTGTGGTGTGTGTGTGTGTGTGTGTGTGTGTGTGTGTGTGTGTGTGTATGTATGTGTATATATGTGTGTATATGTATGTGTGTATGTGTGTACATGTGTGTACGTGTGGGGGAAGGTCAGGGAGGTAGTATTCAGGTCAGCCCCTAGGACCTATCTCCTAGTGGGAGTGTGTTGCTCAGAAAGACAAACATGTATTGCGGTAAATAAGGATCAGGAAACCGTACACCTTACAAACATGCTTAGGCTTTTGCTCCTGGTTGGCCCCACTTGCTAGCTGGGTCCAGAAAGTGCTGTATTAAAATGACCTAGGGGACAGTGGGATATTCCAAAATTCCAGAGCTGTGGGTAGAAGAATAATGGACTGTGTATCAAGGGAATTTACCTGCCAAGAAAGTGGGGCTTGACGCCAGAAAGCCTGAATTCTGGAACATTCTGCCTTTTACCTCCCTGGCTTCTGGGTGGCATGAGATAAGAGCATTCACATGATTTCTAGTCATGCAGTGAGGTCAAAATGCCATCTCTGATCCCTTGGTTGGCATAGTCAGCTGTGTTCTGATGGCTGATCTGCTGGGGGCCTAAAGATTGCTAGACGAAGATCTTTCCATGCAAGGACTGGCTCTACATCCACAGTTCTCCACTGTGCCCTTGGTCGCCTTGGGAGGACCTGAGCTGCCCTGATTGCAGAGGGGAGGGAAGTCATATCAGGGTAGGCCTAGAGGGATCGGCCAGGAGTCTCAGAGTACACTGTGAGGCCACCAGACTGGAGCCCTGCAGGGCTGCCTGGCTCTGACACCAGGCTGTGTCTAGGAGTGTGTCATACAACATAAGTGAAGCACTTAGGACAGCACCCACCTGGCCTTCAGTGAGGGTTCAACAGTTGCCCTCCTGTCCTCGGGGGACAGCAAGTGATACCAAACTCTGTTGGACAGTGTTACTCCTAGACATGCACCTATGACATATTTTATTTCTAAACTGGGCACAGCAAGACATTAACAATGCTGTAGACTGTGCGACAGTCTTAGCATATGATTCTCCTTTCCGTTTTGAGTCAGGAACTTTCACCTCTTTGTTAAAGGAAGTGCTTTTAGGCTCTTCTTGATATGGAAACTGTCCCGAGTCACCACCCATGTAGCTTTGGGGCCATCGTTAAGTAAAATGAGGGCAACCCCAATCAATACAAGTGCTGGTGGTTACTGGAGCGGATCCGGTGGTGACTAACAGGCAGATAGTGCATAAGGCATGGAAACTGGAGAAAGGGAGTCCAAGTCTGAGAAAGACAGAACAAAACGGTGCTGGATTTGATCATGCATTTGTTTGGCATTGCACGTTAAAAAAAAAAAAAAAAAAGGAATTATTTGTTTCTGAAAATTTCCATGTGAAGTTTTTTTTTTTTGTTTGTTTTTTTGACTTCCGTGCACCCCAGCTAACTGATGCGGGAGGAGCTCCTGGGCTCATAGCTACTATTCTTCCCATCGTGACAACCTGAGCTCATCTGTGAATCACTACTGTTTGCTTGTTAAGCCCTAAACAAGATTTCCTCTGCACAGGATCATTAACTGTGTACCCGGAAGATGCCTGGTCTGATCTCTAATAAGGTTTCTGGGTCTGTTTTAGGCGGAGGCCAGGCTTGCAGCGAAGCGTGCAGCCCGCGCCGAGGCTCGAGAAATTCGCATGAAGGAGCTGGAGCGGCAGCAGAAGGAGGTACTGGATGCTGGGGGGGGGCGCTTGTGGTTGGGTCTTTCTCTGAGGTGTGTTAGGACCGTAAGAGGGATCACCTGCTCCCTTTGCTGTCACCTTTGCATCTCTCCTGCTTGGAATGTGTGTGCTCCTGTGGTTTTTATTCTACATTAGGCCCAGAGTGCACATAGCGTGGATGGATGCCCGGCTTGCTTGCCCAACCCGGGCCCTGAGAGAAAGCTCACAGCCTGTGTGTGAGCTTGCCCTTTAGCAGCCAGTTTCCAGGCCAGCTTTCTAGCTGAGACGGGCTGGAGAACACTGAGTTTTGGCTTCTGTCTAACAGTGAGTTTAGGGTCTGGATCCTCTCAGTTAGAAAAGGGCAGAGTAATTTTATTTTAATTGACCAATTTCTTTCATTAAAAAAAAAAAATGTTTTCCCCGAGGCTTATACAATGATACAAAGAACACTGTATAAGTAATCACAGGAATAAAAGCACTTCAGGGGACCAGGGTGGTCATAAGTGCCCACATACCTCATCCTATCTGCTGTTGGTTTTTAGGACAGTTTTTCCAACAGCTAGCTAGCGTGTGGGCTCTTTAACTGCATTAGGTGCTGGCTTCTCCACAACCTTGTCTGCAACCAGCAAGTGAGGCCGTTGGGGAGCATCCCCACACTGCAGGGCTGGCCCATTGAGAAGGCTTGAATGTGTAAGTAGTTAACAGCTGCTGGAGTGGTCCTTCATATGCAGGGTCTGGTCCTGCTCATGGAGCCCTGCTGATGTCCACCATTGCACAACTTCAGATGGAAGATGGCCTTTCCTATTTCTCTTCAGACCGCTGCATTATTCCTCCACTTTCCCAACCAGGCCCATGTCATGTGCTCTGTAGGGACAGCTTGGCCATTAGACTGATGTTAAGTGTCCTTCCCTACCCAGAGACTTTGCCACCCCAGAAAGAAATATGCCAACAGAAGAGGGTGTGGCCAGACTTGATTTGGGGAAGGAAACTAATAGGCGGTGTGTGGGTGGCCATACAGTGCTGGGAGCTCTAGCCTAATGGCTCAGCCAAAGGGGTACCAGAGCCCCAGTGGAAGGGGAAGGTGCATCAGGGCAGTCACCACCATGAGGGGACCTCACCCTGTTCTGTGGCGATCAGGAAGTGACCTTGGCAAGCTTCTCCTATGTGCTAAGCTGTGAGCAGAAAATTAAGTCAGTATCGAAAGATGGCTCACTGTCTTCCCTTCTGGTTGCAGACGCAAATAAAATAAAAAAGTATAGTATGTTCTAGGCTTTGTTATTTTACATTAGACATTGGTACTGCTCTCTATGAATTTTGTTGTTGTTGGGTTTTTTTTTTTTTTTTTTTCCTCTTGGTTCTCTGGAAAGGAATGGGGTTGGTATATGTCCAACATTTGTCTCCTTTTTTAAAATCAGAAAATAGGCGTTCCTGGGTTGGTTTTGTTTGTTTGTTAATTACTTAGGCTTTTCTTCAGATGAGCTGTGATTGCCAAGCCTCCCTATTAACTGAAGAGCCTCCCTCCCCTAGTCTCTTGGCCAAGGGTGAGGTAGACCGAAGAGGAATCGGAACCCAGTGAACACCTGTCGGGATGCTTCCACCAGGAAGTGCTTTTAGGAAACTCACCAGAGGCAAAAATGTCTGGACCCACAAGTGGACAATAGGAAAAGACCGAATCTGCTTTGTGGGTCACTGTCACGCACCGCTAAACCTCTGAGCAGGGCCTGCCCAGGGGACTGTCCCAGCAAGAGCTCCAGGTCTCACCCGACTCCAGCATACATACTGGATAGTTTATTTGGAATTGGATTGAATTTTTTTAATGACTAAGTCCCAGTTGATTCTCAGACAGCCTGGTATCATTGTCTCTGTGAAACTTTTCTGCTCATTTAGTAGACACTTGTGGGCCACTGTGTGTAGGACCCTGCTAGCTCTTCCCACTGACTGTGATGGAGAGGGAGGTAGTTCTGGGGCTGGGGGCTGCTGTTTCTTAGAATGCATCCCTGTTACAGAGGGCAGCTCCTGGCATCTGCAGAGCCAGAAGTCCCATGGGAGCTGCCTCCTGTGGCTGCTGTGCCCTGCTTAGGCTCATCTACTGTCAGCTTACCCTGGTTCTCCTGCAGTCCGCCCTTCTTTTCTTCCTCCCTCCCTCTCTCCCTCCCTCCCTCCCTTCCATCAGTCCATTTTTTAGTAGTAGTGGGGGTTGAACCTGGGACTTCATGGCACTTACTCCACCACTCAGGCCCATCACCAGCAGTCAGCAAAAATCCCCAGGATGTTTTGCTGCTCGGCTAGTTCCACGGGGAGGGGGGTTCATTGCACTTTATGCCATGTGTCATATGCACTTTGAGTGCAAGACTGGCCTCACAGCTGTCTCCTTCAGCTCTTATTAGAGACAAACTGAGGACCCAGGGCAGTGGGATGCAGGGAGCCTGTGAGTGCAGGGCAGGGGGATGCAGGGAGCCAGTTGAGTTGGCTCTGTACATTGTGCTGGTGCCTGTTAGTGAGCTTGGTGTCATGAGTGATATGGAAATCCTACAGGGATGGAGGCGAAAAGGAGTTACAGAGTATGTGCACACCCATCTACTAAGTAACATTTTAAACTACATTCGTTCTTACTGATGGGTACCATTGATTGGCATATTTTTGTCTTCATTTTGAGCAGAAGGATATTTGGCCTTGAGCACCAAATATCTCCTCATTGCTGCATCTGAGGCAGAATTTGTTAGGCAGAGCTGGCATTTGTCATCAGGAACCACATAGGAAGAGAAACACTGTGCACAAATACCGGGGGACAAGTCAATGGAGAAGAGTGACGACAGCTAAGAGCCCAAGCTTGCAGCCACAGCCCCTCAGACTGCTCTGCCTGTCTTCTCAGTCCTGGCTATTATTAGAAGCAGCGAACCCAACTTGAGTTCATACCATCTGATAGCCCAGGGCACTGGCATTTTAAGTTGTTGATTAAGGAGAAATGAATATGCTTTGGACGGCCAGTGTTTAGCCAGTAGGGTTGGTATTTCGGTATGAAACTGGGAAACACGATCCTTGCTTTCTCCTGCACATGCTGCTGCCGAGCAGGAATGGCTTTCTTTCCCAGAGGAAGGGGTCAGAGCTAAGTCAGCCTGGATGAGCTGAGGAGGCCCTGAAGCTGGTGACCAGAGTTGGGGGGGGTCTCCCAGGAGAGCTTGCAGGGTGTGCAGAGAGCCAAGATGGCAAGACAGCAGTGTTGGGGTGCAGGTCTGCCACCAAGCAGGGCAATGAGATGTATCCAGAGCCAGGGTGCTCTAAGTATCCCTGGTAACGACTCCAAGAGCCAGCCACATAGACGGCATGATCCAACAGCAGCATCCTTGAGCTGTGCTTGGGGCTGGTTGAGTGGATCTGAGCTCCGTTTTAATGGAGTTTCCAGATGAGACTAATGTATAGGCATTCTTTGGGAAATTACAGGGATCCTTGAACTTCACAGGAGAGTGGGCACTGATAGAAATAAGCGCCTGTCTTAATGTCACTGACTGGATAGCCATTTTGGTTGGAGATCTGTGTTTATTATAGTTGAATGTTGACTGTATTTAGCAGTGCTTCCCCTTTTGAAGAAAAGTCCCAAATTTCTAGGCCTGTGACCTTGACATGGCCCAATACAACTCATGGCTTGTCCAGTGAATGCAAGTATCCATGTCTCAGTGGTGACTGAAATTAAGAGAAGGCTCTGATGAGACCACTGTGTTGGGGACAGGGAGCCCCCTTGTATTTCAGCGCATTCCCACGGCTGCAGTGTTTTGCTGGAATGGTCTTGCTATTCTTTCCTATAAATCTGCTTGGACCAGGATGCTAAAGTCTCATTATTAATCATTTCTGAATCTGACCACTCAATTTCCAACTTCAAATTAGACACTTTCTGGCTAAACTTTCATTGGTGTGAAAAGCAGTTTTCCTTTTAAAGGTAAGTTGATGTTTATTCCTTGACAGTTTCATATGTGTAAATGTGATGCACTTTGAGCAGAGTCCCTTGCCATTCCCCTCTCGAGTGCCCCTCCTACTGCCTCTAAGCCTTCTTCCCTGCATAGCCCCATCTCCTTTAAAGTCTGAAAAAAATGCCTGTAATTCCAATTTATTGTAGCAATAGGCCATGCATACTCTGCCTTAGGTAACAGTGGGTTCTACAGACACTGCTGTGGAGCGACCTTTAACCATCATCTAAAACAGCACCGAATGTGAGATGTGGGACTTAATGCATTTTCTCTTCATGTTTAATCAGCAACCTTTGTTTTTCTGCACTACGGCGTCCATTCATATTTCTGATCGTTACAGAGCCTTTCTGAACCATTCCTGCAATTTTAACTGCATTTTTCTATCTCTTCCCCATTCCCTTTGCCCTTTCCTGTAGATCTATCAGGTGCAAAAGGTAGGCTCTGTCCTTCGTGTCCAATGTGCATGCGCTGCTTTCCCCCTGCCGAGGCCTCGCCACCTGCAGAACGGTGCTGTGCGCTGACCACCCCGCTTGCCTTGTGCACACCGCTCCTCTGTCTCTCTGCCTGATTAACAATCTTTCGCTCGAGGCAGAAGCCATGCATTGAACACATCCCTTGATCCTTTTGCTTCAAAGATTTGGAAAGTTGTCTCTGATGCAGGAAAAAAAAACCAACCAAACAAAAATAACAAACTTCTAACATCAGCCACATTTTAGAATTGGAGGAAGCTTTTTAAATGTATATTAAAAGATAAAGGTGTTTTGTTTTCCAGATGACTTTGTTAGAAAACCTTAAAAATACTGGTGTAAATTGCCACACATTAAGACATCATTGGGTTAAGTGTAGTAGCACATTTCTATAGTCCTAGCACTCAGGATGCGGAGGCAGGAGGATAACTGAAAGTTTAAGGCTATGCCGGGACTATGTGTTTGGTTGGAGGCCAGTCTGGTCTACATACACAGTGAGTCCCTATCTCAAAAAATGAGGGCGAGAAGGAGATAGATACATAGAGGAATTGGTTATTAGGCTAGGTGTGGTAGGTAG